GTTAAAAAATTTTGCATCTCTGGTCACAAGGATTTTTGGTCTATAGTTTTCTTGTAATGTGTTTGTTTTTTGTTTCCCAGTTTGGTTATTTTTTATTATTCCAATTTTATCTCCACTGTTGACCTGCAAGTTATGTATTTTAGTTAAAATTTTAGTAGTTTTCCTAGTGTGCATATTTAATGTTACCTTATGCCTTCAAATAATATAACACTTTGGGTATAAACCTTACCACAATTTCTTCTATTTCTACGATCATATCCTATTCCTTGTGCTATTGCTATCATACATTTTACTTCTATTTATGTCGTAAGTTCCATCATTCATTGATTGCTAATTTTTTCCTTTTAAACAATCAACTTCAAGATAGCATAAAAATAAAAATTCTATTAACCCACACGTGTATCATATCTGACACTAATCATTTTGGGGGATAAGACCCAAGTTTTGATCAGGAGTCAATCATTTCATCTGAAGGATGTTCTTTGATATTTCTTGCAGTGAATTTCCAACAAAAGCGAGCTTTCATTTGTCTAAAAGAATTTTGTCTTCATTTTTGCTATAAAATATACTGTGAATTCAAAGACTTACTGTGAAAACATAATTTGATATTTCAATACCTTTTTATACTTTAGAAATAAAATTTGGGGTACATTTGGTTAAAATATGTCATAATTTCAGCTTTTAAAATGTGGCTACTAGAAAATTTTTGAATATATTTGTGGCTCACATTTTTGGCTGTTATTACATGTTATTACATTTCTTCTGGACAGCACTTATTTGCCTAAATAGTCTTAAAAAATATAAATGAATGCCTGACAGTTGCTTAAAACCCTTCAGGGTCTTAGTGTGGTACAGATTCTTATTGGAGCTTACACCAGAATCTGACCTCTGTCAAACCAGCCACCTTCATCTCTTTTACTTGTTTTTCTGGCTGAATGTGCTTCAGTTGAGCCCACAGGCCTCCTTCCTGTTACTGCTTTAGGACAGTTGCCAGTGCTGTTTCCCTCTGGCTTCTATATACCTTTCTAGATCCCTTTCATCTTTCAGGTATCAGAATGAATGTTAAGTCCTTGGAGACCTTTCCTTGAACTATTCTGCCCTGAAGTAATCCTTCCCCCATGACCTTTACCAAGTGCTGTTTTATCACTCTTACTGATTCCCTTTCTGGAACATACAGAGCATGAAATTATTTCACTTTGTTTTTTCATTTACTCACTGTCTCACCTCCAGGAGCCTATAAGCTCCAAGATGGGAAGCCCCTGGCATGTTCTAATGCTTTATCCCTAGCTCCTAGCGCAATATTACTTTAATGAATGAATGATGTCTGAAGCTACTCTGAACAGAGGTTAACTCTTGAATTAGCTCAGAAGTACATTCTTTTCTTAAAATACAACCCAAATAACTTTTGTGGTATATTTAGCTGATACCTATGAGGTATCAGAATATATGGGAATAATTATTAGAATTTTTGGTCTTCTGCTGTGCCTTTCTTCTTGGTAACAAGAAAAACCCTTTAATTTTTTCACTGAGGCTACTGAAGCCCAGAGATATTGTGTCCTCTTAGCTTGTGGCTAGGATTTGAGCTCATGACTCCTGATACTGAAGTTATCTTTGGTATTAAAGACAGAACAGATGTGACGTATAACTCTTCTTATCCTTTCTCAATGTATCTACATAGTCCTCTCTTTCACATTAACACTCAATACATATCTTGCTCCAAAACTAAACATGTTTATTCATGGTAAAAACCAAACTAACAGAGAATATCTATTCATTAAATTACTCCTTTAACCCTTGTGGGATGTTCTTTGAGATCTTGCAACAGGGGTGGAATAGAATTCAGAAATCATTACATAACTTCAGAGTGACTTTTCTGTAATGGGTCATAGTTAACAATTGGTGCCTAAATCAGGCGATGGCTAGGCCTAGCCAACTGAGTTTAATTTTCATTAAGTATTAACTACACACAGGAAAATATAGTTGTGAAAATTTACCTTGTCTATCAAAATTGGCTAATTTTCCTCATTAATAATGAGATTTTGGTAAGTATCTACTTCTTTTCCCTTTTATGTAAGCACCTGCAAAATGTATCAGTCTAACATAACATGAAACTGGAAATTGTTAATGTTTTATAGTTACACATTTCCAATTAGATGTTTCTACCAATTAGTTGTTTCATATACCTATAATTTAAAATCTGATGCCCATAATATAGCTGCCAGTATTTGTGAATTGATTATGCTTTGAAAGATGTTGCAATGCCACAAAGAGCTCTGAGATGCACTACTTACTTTATGAATAGGGGAGGTAACTAGGAACACTTTATTGTATCTCATTTAATGCTCAAGGACAACTTGTGTTAGCATGGTCTTATTTTACTACTGAGAAAACTGGATCAAAGAGATTAAGTAGCTTGCCTTAGCACAACTAATAAATGACAGTGCTTAATTTGGCCCCAATTAATTTATCTCCAAGGACCTTTTTACCCCCAAAGAACCCCTACCCACCACTAGATTCCCTGATGTGGTATTGACTTTCAAAGATTTTGGGCCATGACCCACAGAAAGAATTAGGCTTTACAGTACAACCCAGTACATGCATGCATACATCTACATAATAGAGACAGAGCTTCACAGTTATTATCAGCTGTGATCTACTCTGACACTATTTTTAGAAACTGCTAGTTGTGACTCACTAAACTGGCATAATGACCCATTAGCATGTCTCTACCTGTATTTTGGAAGCTGCTGTTCTAAATGCTCTATTTAGCTTGCTGTCTGCCATCCAATTATAAAAATTTGAATTTACTGACAAATAAAAGCTACATGGATGCGTTACTATAGGTCATCTTAATAATGTATTCCAAATTTGGTTTTGTTTCTCTGGTCTTTGAGTATACTCATGGGATATTTAGCTTCAGCAAAGTTGCTACTATAAAATGCCTTATCACTAAGTGGAAATAATCTAAGCAGGAGGAAACATATTGGAGTCACTTGATGGAGTCAGTATGATGGTGTATGATTTTGAGAGCATTCGGTTTTGTTCCCAAGATAGTGATTTTTGTGAAAACACTTGAGAGTATCATATACCACCAGGGCACCAAGAATTTGAGTCCAGCTCATAGGAGTTGTGTTCAAGTCTAAGACTACTTCCAGCAGCCTCTCCTTCCACCCACCATCTGTCCTTTGCTCTGGCTCTCCCATATCTCACTGCACACTTCCCTGGGCATGCAGTCAAAACTCTATGACCCCATTTGCCTTGCAGAGATGAAGCTTGAGCAGAATGCTGTTTAGTGTTTGGACTGAGTTCTTCCCTGAGAGAATAATCTTCACTACATCTTTTTTAAAGATACTTGCAGACATTTTTGTAAAGTTTACTCCAATGTAAATAACCATTCTGTCCAAGAAAGGGCTTTCAATATGCCTAGACAAGTTAATGAGTTCTTGGTATAAAATCATTCTTTTATTTTCTTAAAAAAAGTACGCAAGAAGAGATGCTTTGTTCAGTGATCAACTAATTTCTAGAGCTCTACTTAGATGTTCATTTAAGCTAATGATCTAATACTTTCTAACAGTGGCTCTTTCTGTGAACAGCTAATGAAATACCAACATGGAAGATGTGGCTTATGAATGTCCCTAAATTGAACACAAATATCTGTTGCATGGATAAACTAAGAGCTATAAATAGAAACTACAGCAAAGTTATTCATTAACTCAATATTTTATTGGCATCAACGCATTAAACTTTTTGAGTTGTATAAGTAATTTCATTATAATTTTAGAAGAAAGAGTTCTAGAAAATAGTTGTGCTACTAGAATTGAAGAGGGTGTTAATTCTGAATTAACTTATTAAAGCATTTACAATTGTTTTCTATGTCCACTTAAGTACAAAACTTTTGTAAGAAAGATAACACTTTATTGCATTATATAATTTCATATTCTAAAGGAGTCATAATTGACACTCATAAGCATAAATATACATGATGCAACCAGTCAGCAATGTAGCTATTAAAAGATTTAAAATGTAAAACTAGAATTTAACAGGCGAAATACTTAATATGGCTTTTAATGGAAAGTAACTATTTAGAAATGATTTATTGCCCCATTCTAGTCATTCCTCATAAAGTGAACATAAAATTATGGTCACCATTTAAAATGGCAAATGTTATCTAAGCCTATGTTGTACACATCTTGTAACATGTAGTATACAATATTCATGGACTTTGTTAAGTATACATATGTACATATATACAGATATACAGTACATGGACAGTTCTTCTTTAATACCCCTGAACATGTTGATTAAAACTATTACAGTATTTCTATTATAAAACTACTTGAAAAGGTGGCATAGCTTCTTGGTATTGAAGTTCAATCCTACAGATTGGGGGAAGAAAAGTTGGTTATAAATACATTCTTTACAAAAAACTGAATAGTGGTCCCGCACTCATACTTTTTTATTACAGTGATAACATTTTATTCTTTTAAAGGTATTTACATCTTGCTGTCCTTGGTTTCTGTGTGAAATATACAGAAGTTAAGAGTGAGAATTTTGTCTAGGCAGGCCTATTTGTTAGGTTTTTCTACTTTTTCATTTTTGTGTAAGTTCCAAATCTCTTCTTTCACGTTGTTGTTTATTTCTGTTTGCCTTGTATTACTGCTGCTGCATTTGGTGTTCTGGGAACACTGGGTGACTTTACTTCTAGGAACAGGAAGAAAAGATTTAACTCTTGAAGCACCCAACTCAGGCTTTGATTTACTGTTGCTGCATTTGGCATTTTGATAGCTGCTGAGAGGACGCACCTCCTGCAAGACAGGAGAGACAAAGAACTTCGTCACACTTGACGTGCCACCGGCTTCTGGGACCATCCAAACTTCTCCTCTTCTGTCTGAGCAGGAGAGTAGGCGCTGCTCCCTAGATGCAGTTCTCATGAAACCCAAATGGAAGACAATGGGGGGATAAGCTGACTTCCTATAAACCAACTGTCTGATTCTCATTAGGCTGTTTATGGTGTGACCAGAGTGCTGAGCACAGCAGTCAGTGAACCGCGTGCCCGACAGTCTGCGATCCCACCACAGGGGCCTCACAGGGTTCTGTCCACAAGGGAATCACAGACAGGAAGAGTCCAACCAGTTACTTATCAACTGCTTCACCTTGGGTGAGTCACCTATCTTTTCTGCTATCACATCTATAAACTCGTCTTTTTGAGCATTTAATGACAAGTGACTGCTGATATAGGTGCTTGATCTACAGCAGAAAACAGAAACATTCCTGCTCTAACAAAGCTTGTATTCTAGTGAATTAAGGCTCCTGTGCTGCTATTCTATGACTAGGTGGCTTAAGATTGTCTGTAATTGGAGAGGTAAGATGATTTGCCCACAGAATGATGAGTTTGGGACAAGACCTCAAGATGTTTTCTCCTCTATTGTGCTAAATCTGTCTCCTAGCAAACACGGAGTGAGGCCTATTAAGTGAGCTACTCCAGCGGCTTCTGAACTAGTTGGCATTCATGACTTTTACCTCTTTTTAAAAGTAATCAAACAGCACTATAACCATTGAGAGAAAGATGTAAAACTGAAATTTAACACGTATATACTTAATATGGCTTTTAATGGAAAGTAACTTCCGCTTCACATGCACGCTCCTGGGTATTTCCTAAATCTGCAAAACGGGACTCAGCCATGGGCCTAGTCAGGCCTATCCCAACTTGTGCTCTGGTCTAAAACCAGAAAATTCAATACATACTAAATATCTAGATGACATGACCTGTAATAATGGTAACAGGTAGTTGACAGATCCACCTTCCCCCTCAGAGATTCTGTACAACTCTAAATAATTTTGCCATGATCTTTGACTTCCCTTTGGAAATCCAAGGGGTAGGGCCAAGGCTCAGATATAGGAAAGGTGACACACAGTGTGTTCTTTGCTACTCTGCCCTTTTGTCTGTATCATGAAGGCAAGGACATCTTTATGGTGTAAGGCAGGAAGCATCTATGTGAGATGGAGTACCCACGGCAGCTAAAAGTACGATTGGGGTGTTGAGGCTTTGGAGGCATGGAGAATCACTTCAACTCAGGGCTGGGAGCGCAAGAATAATGCCGGTCAGTGATGCTCCTGAAACTCTGGCAGCCAAACACTGGCTTTGAGGTGTTCTCCCCGAAGCTAAGAAGTACCAGAGCCTGGGACTAGGTAAGTGAAGGGTGTTTAATGCTTCCTAGGCTACAAGTTCTATTAAACGTAACACCTCTCATGTGTATAGAAAGGTATGGCCCTTAAAGTAAGTTTTAATTGTTAGTCTTCAAGAAATATAGTTAAATCATAGCTATTCATTCACTCAACATGGAGCATCTGCTAGAAGCTCTCTAGATGGAAAATTGGGGGCAGAAAGTAAAGGAAAACACTGTAGGGGAGCTGGATCTCTAAGGTCGTGGTAGGCCTGCGACAGATGACAAGCAGGGTTTGGTGGGAAGGAGGAAGGGTGAAGACAGGCATGGGGAGGTGAGTATGGTGTGGAACTAGGGAAGTACGTGTAAAAATAAGCTACATGAAGGTATATCAACCTCTCTAAAGACACATTCAGAAAGAAATGAGGTAGAAAATTAGGAAAATAATGACAGAGCAAAGCTCATGTGCTCCAGATACTAGAAAAAAAAAATTCCTCAAGTGGATTTCATTATGCAGCCCCAGATGAGAATTTTTGCTTTAGGGGGATTAATTTAGAAGGCTGGCTGCTAATAATAAATGGAGTTAACGCTGTGCCAAGTGATGAGGGGAAAGTGATTTCAGCTAACACAGAGAGCTCTTACTTCTAAAGGGAATTACTTCCAGATAACATAAGAAACTGGGACCCTCACCAAGAAATGCTAGCTGTGGTTTTCAGGACAGAAGAGGAATGAGCCTGCCCGGTTTTCTGAAGTTGAGTGTTACCTTGCCCTCTGCTGGCAGATTCTGAGAAAAACATCTTCCACCCGCTGGGAAATAGTCCCTCCAAAGGTGTTCAGGGGGACAAGAATGAGAAAAGTAGGAGGCAGCTGACCTAATAGCCATAGCAAACCACACATTTAAACGACCACATGGTTCTTTCATAGGAGCCCAGAGAGTATAAACCCATTTTTTTAAAGGTCCTTTATAAAACAAGGCTGTCCTGAGCTGCCCAGAGGTTACCCACTTTCAGTACTATTTTTTTATGGACAGTACCTTATTGTAGCAACCCAATATGGCCATGTCACAGGGAAGGAGGGGTACAACACCCTGTTTCCATTAGACATTTAAACAACAGCAGCCAGTCACGACGTCAACACTTTTAGATAGGAAGTGACTCGGCCCTGTGGAGAAATAGTGGCTCATCTTTCCTCTTCCCAGACCCTCAGGGCCCTGTTACTGACTGTTCCTCAAACAATTCTAATGAGTGGTCCTGGAGCCCAGAGATACACTCTGAATCAAAGCTGAGGGACCCCCAGGTCACTACGTGCTCCTAAACTGTCCTCAACTGTAAGAAAAAAGCAGACCCAATGGTGGAGGGAGCTAGAAGGGTGCGCTCTGCTTCACAGAGCAGCTTATGCATGTTTTCGTCGGGATCTCAGCCCTGCCAGTCCTCCCTCCCTCTCCCTTCTTCCTCCAACACACACACTCACATAGTTTCACATATAATAATCAGGACTGAAGCCTAAGGAAGCAATGAGAGCGCAGGGGCCGTGGGGCTCAGGTCTGCCCAGCGATCAGATAAGGACGAATCCTTTAATAGTCTCACCATGTTCACTTTCTAATCCTGCTCTCTGCACTCCCCACACAGATCCTCGCAGTGGGTGAGAACAGGATCGACAAGGCTTGGTCAACAAACCACATCTTACAGATGCCTCTAGGAAATCTGCATCCACACAGAATAACTACTGGCTAAGAAGTAGTTTTACTGTTTCTGTTCACGCAGGAGTACAATGCTGGGTGGGCTATCTCTTGGCATGTATTAACCAGTCAGAGTTGAATATTTCTATTCAAGAGATTGATATTGAAATGCTGGATCTTTTATTTGATATTGATTTGTTTTTTAAGGAAAATTTGACTAAAACATGATGTATGTTAGGCAAGTTAAGCAACTAAACTAAAAATGAGATCTTTTTTTTTTAACGTGTAAAAGACCTTTAGGTTATCAACTCTTTGCTATAATTAACTCAAAAATTCAAAACTGCAAGAAATCTTAAAAGTTCTCAAATGAAAAACAATGCTTTTTAAAATGAAACAACCAGGAAGGCAGAAGTTACATTGTTGCTAGTTTTAGCATACACGAATGATAGGATGTTAGGTTTCAAACAGAAAGATAAATGCTTTTTTCCATGTCATTTTTTCAAGCTACTATCCAAACAGTAATCATGAACCATTTTCATGACTGTGGTTTAAAAATAGCTTCATGATGCACACTGAAATAGATTTGTGAAGTCCATTCCAAAGCAATCCTTTTTTTGGTCCCATTTTTGGGGGAAATGGGCACTTACCTTTTGTGACACTGGCTTTCTTGGATTATTAACAGTTGCTGAAAATGCAGGGCTGTTCTCTGCACTATCAAACCTCCTTAAATCATCCCTGGCATCAGCAATCTGGAAAATATACAGTTTATCAAGGCATAGTTTAAAGTTCCTATGGAAAAACCACAGTACAGGTGTTATCTTTCTCTTCTTCCCCAGCCCTCAGAACGTACCCCATACCCTGTACTGTTCACTAGAACGGCTTGAAGCCTTCACATGAAACTAACAGAAAATGCATAAGGAATAGTCTCTAAAGGAGGTGAATCTATTAAAAAAGTCACCAGAGGCCAACCAGATGAGCCCTAGAGAAAAAATAATCGCTTGGCAAGGAAAGAAAGGACATACAATTTGCAAGATTTTAATCACCTTATTTTTTCAGTGGATAAGTCTTTTAGTTCACTTCCAGCAAGGTTAAATAAGATAGTCATTTCTACTCTGTCCTAGAGATTATGACTGTTCACATGGAACAGCTGAGTCAGTGAAACCCATGCAGTATAACTACCTTCTCATCCTCCCATTCAAGTAAAAGACATTTGTGAAGGCAGTTGGGTGAAATTTGCTGCAAATATCAGAATGCCAAAACAGGTTGAATTTGATGTGGATTATTAATGCTTTGAGAGTTTGGGTCACCGATTTTCATTTTCAAAGCCTAAAGACCAGACATGCATCATACAGGCTAGATTTTGTTCTTATTTGTAAGGAAAGTTGTTGCTCTTGCTCTATCACATGAGTCTGCTGCAGAATTCTCTTATGATAGGTGATTTTCATGCCAATGTTAGGAGAAGAGAAAGGAAAAAAGCCTGAGGAAACATAAACTGAGACTTACGCAAATGCTGCCTGAATGTGGTGCTGTGATTTGTACTCATGCAACTAACAGGCAATTTTAATGTCAGGTCTTTTGGAAGAGTTTGGAAATTGGAAGCTGTACTGAGTAGAACTCCCTTATTGTATAAGTGATGTTTTGGAAGAAAGGGCTTTTCTAAGCAAGATAATTCTTTAAGGGTGTGGGTATTACAATATGGTCCTAGGAAGCCTCTCTGCTGTTGGGTGAACAGTCCATGTCCTCCCCAGTCATACTGCTTACCTTGCTTATGTCAGATTCAGACTTGCTGGAGCACATACTCTCAAGTTCCTTGACAAGGTCTGTTTCATCATCCGAACCCAGAGAGAGTCTTTGATCCAAATTCAACGTCAATGACACATCATTCTCTAAAGATCTAACATGAAGTTCAAAATGTCATTTAATGCAACCATTCATTCTCATAAGATTTTGGTAACTCCCGCTCAAATTCTCAATAGGATACAATTGTATTCACAAAGAAATCCATTTGGACTTAGAACATTCCAGTCTCCTTACTATTCCCTTTTATTTTCTGTCTTGAAGGTTAGATAATAATTAAAATTAAGACCCTAAGCACTGTAGTATAGGGAGGCAGTGTGGTATAATGGAACAAATATGCATTTCCAATTTGGCTCTACCATTACTAGCAGGATGGCCATGGGTCGGGGTTTTCTGTGTGTCTCCTTAACACCTCAAGTTTCTGGGTTCCCTTTTCTGTAATGGAATCCTTCAATCTACGTTACAGAGTTACTGGGAAAATTATATAGGCTGCTGTGTGTCATGCTTCTAAGGGCCTGG